AGGCAGGGATAATTCCCTCCCGTCTGCTGCCACAGGTACCCGCTGCTCGCCACCCCAGCGTCGGCACAGATTTTACCTCTGCCATGAGACGCGGAGGAATGATTTGCATCTCAGAGATAGGGATCAGAGACAGGGAATGAGGTGGTCTAGTTTACTTCCTTTACAAATCACAGCTGTATGGTTTAGCACCACGGAGTCAGAAATCTTAAAGCGGGACGTTGCCTGTGAGCCACGCTGGAAACTTTTAGAGGCTGTTAAAATAATGAATTTGTTGTGCAGTGAGTATTTTGCTTGTGACAAAATACCATGTGGCTTAGCGTGTTGTCGAAGCGAGTTTCTGATTTTTTTTTTTTTGGTTTGGCTCTCCGCCAGCATTAATTGTCTGCAGCAACCCATGCAGTTCGGAGCTGTTAAAATGTGTAATCTCGAAACATGCAGTCAGAGAGAAGCGTTTTGTTCTTCACACCCCCTGATCAGAGTCTGACCTCGAAGTTGTCTAAAATCCCGATTGCTTCGAAATAATTTTCAAATGCAGGAACAGGTCTCCATCCTTACACGGCTATTGCAGCATGCTGCTGGTTCTTTAGTACCACCACATACAGCGCGCGTGGGTATCGCATCATAGTCCGCTGGCGACCCTCAAGCAAGCAGGAATTTAGCTGCCTTGCTAAACGTGTCCTTCATCACCGGCTGCCCATAACCACGCGCGTGTCCCTGCTTAGGAGGGGATGTGGCCGCTCTGGTTGCAAATGGTCGGTGTCAGAATGAGTCGAAGCTCGGCTGATAGAAAATGGGAATAATGAAGAATATTTTTGAAAGGACAAGAAACAAAGGGTATTTTTTTTCAAGAGCTCAGGGAAATTTGAGGGAGGCTAGTAATTTCCCACCTCTCCAGCGTCGTAGTCATCTGATGAATTCAGTTGGCCATAACTATTGATGACTAGACACACAATTTCACATGAGATGACCTGTTTGCTATGGACTTATTAGCATTTTTTCTAAAAAAATGCAATCAAGTAGTCTGGGACAATAGAGTCATCGTCCTAATCTGATTGAAATGCTAGCTCCTAAGAAGAGTAAAACTAGTATTTACTAGAAATGAAGACAGGGTAGTTTCAATAGTTAAGACTTCGATACTCCTCCGAAGGTGTAGATAAGGATACGCACAGTCTCCCCACCCACACTTGGTTCACAAATTAATAGCCTGGCTATGGCTGGCAGACCAAATGCCTCTCGCTGTGAAAAAGCAGTTTCTGCCTTCAGCTCTTTCTGGTAACAGGGAACACAAGGTCCGGCCACCGCCACGCCACCCCGGCCACCACTGCCAGCGGGACGCCTGTGGGAGGCTGGTCCCACCACCCTCCCAAAGGAGCCCAGGGCTCGGAGCAGGAGCCTCCCGCTGCTTCCCACCACCCAGCTCCCACTGCCTCACCACGTGTCGCTGGTCAGAGCCGTGTTTTGCTTACAGGCTCCATATGAACGGGCAACCCAGCAAACCCTCTGTGGCCGGACCCAAAGTCGGACCTGCTGACAAGGGTGGGCATTCGCCTGCTGGCTTCATGCTGCTGGGTCAGGCTCCTGCACCAAAATCTTTCTTATTTTCAATGCTTGCATTGTTCTTATTGCACAGCAGTTGTTCCCAATATTTGTTTTGCACAGCTGATCTGTCAGTTAAAAAATATAAACACTTTTTCTGGCCCTGTGTGTGTTGATGATGTGATTAATGTTTGTCATTGGGTGCAGACTGGGGTGAGGATGGGGCTGAAGGTGGTTTCATACCCAGAAGCACGTTTTTTTCTTGAGATGTGAACATCTTCACCCTAGTCTCTGAGGTAGAGCATATCTGTGGACTCCCCACAGCTGCACAAGTCCAAGGGCTTGTGCACCGTCACATGCAGTTCTTGTGAAAGGAGAAGGTCTTGTAAAATGTACCAAGCTCGACAGGGAAAAGGTGCTTACCACTTGGATGACCAAGTTTTTCATCAGAAACCAGTCTGAGGTAAAAGAAAGGCACCGCATTCGGGCCCTTCGGCAAGGTCTACTGAGCAAATGCTAATTAGATTCAAATTCACACACAGGGTGTGGGCTTTTGTGGGAAGAAATATCCCTGAGCGGAGAGACCATGCTCTCCGCAGGGCAAGCAGCGACCAGGTCCAGAGGGGGGAGGTTAAATGGACATCCCCTGAGCCACCCAGCTCAAGAGGCAGCGAAGCACACCCTTAGACCAATCTAAAAGTTTGCTTAAAGATCGTTTCCTCCAATGAACCATTTGTTAACGTGCCTCTGTGCTGCCAGACGCGACGAGCTGCCCACCGGCGAGGAGCAGGGTGGCACGGAGCAATGCTGCAGTGGGGTGGGATGGCCCCACTGGAGGAAGGGAGCATGCTAAGGTGCAAACCCACCCCTCACCGGCCGCATTGAACTTTCTTTGCACTCCTGAGCACGCAGGGTGTCTGTGGGGCCTCAGCGCTCAGCCCTGAGTGGGGGTGACATGTTAACACCTCTGGGGCTTTCAGGAGGAGCGGGAAGGGACCATGGACCCACCAAAGCCACGGTGATGCTGGTCCCATTATAAGATGATCCAGTGTCTATAGAGGGCAAGTCACCTTGCTGTCGCTCCTGTGTGTACTTCGTGCAGCCGGGAAGAAGCGTTGAGCGACTTTTGAGTTTCTGATGGCGGGCATTTCTCTAGGCTTGAGCTGAGGAGGGTGGGGCAGAGCTGTCAGCAGGTCCTGGTGCAGATTCACAGAGGTGGTGGAGGGAGGAAGTGGTTGCTCTCACCTCCGGATGATCTGCTGCTGCACACCGACTGCAAAGCCTTGTACGAGGCCCACAACAGAGCTTGCCCTGCGTAGGCAAGGAGGGATGGGGAGTTAGTGGAAAAACCATTTAAGGGAAGAAAAGCAGTTTTCGTAAGGGGGGAAAAAAAGCCATCCCACATCACCTGTGGGTTTGAGACAAGTTGGCGCGGCCCCGCTCGGTGCAGATCAAGCATCGTGAAGGCCAGCTCAGGAACTTCTCCACACAGCAGCCATTGGCCCTGGGACCAAAGGGGCTGCCGAGGTGACGGGGAGATGGCCTGGGTGGCGGGGGGCCTCCTTGCCCTGTGGGGAAGATGTTGATGGGACAGGGACACGTGGGGCTGGCTCCACACCCCAGGGTGCCCAGGTGGACTGATGAGGCTGAGTACATCAGCCCACGTTGGCCAAGGGACTTGGTTTTGCCCGGGGGTCTGGTCTTGCGTGAGAGGGCCAACGGGGTGCTGGGGGGAAGCGGGGAGACGTGCAGGAGAAGGAGATGATTTCCTTCTCTTTCTGCGCCCATCCAGAGCAGGGAGGGGACAGGAGTGCTGGGCCCCAACCCATGTCCGCTCCGTAGTCAGGGACACCAAAGAAATGTTGATGTACAGCAAGAAATTAGGAAAAGGGAGAGACAGCAAAAATAGATTTTAATCCTCAGATGCTATTTTTAGGATACCTAGAGGGGAAATCTGCCGCTCCCCACCATCCCTTGGAATCAGGCTTACCTTCCCATACACAGGAGAGATGTCGGCTTGGGATTACGCACTAGCAGTGATTAAGTACTGCATTAATTGCCACTTACTAAAAGAATTAGATTTTTTAATAGGCAAGATAGGGAAAAATATATGCACAAAATGCCTACCATAAATTACGGGTAACTGTGCCTGCGCACCTGGATGCGAAAAGTCGAGACCCGGAGCCCGTCGTGCTTCAACACTGGTCTCCTTCGCTCGCAGAGGCGAAGGGCAGAGGCCTTCAGCAGCTTTTTGGGGTTCATGCCTGGAAATGGAGGGGACCGGCAGGGAGAATCGGCTCCCCGGTGCCACTAGAGGTCACCGTCTCAACGAGGGACCGGCCCCGAGGCACCGGTAGCGGCACCGGCGGCGCGGGGGGTACGGGCAGCGCGGGGGTACGGGCAGCGCGGGGGTACGGGCAACCCCTGATGAACATGGGTTTTTCACTCGTGTTTGCACGCAGGGATTCTAACGAGCAAGCTCCTATGTCCGGCCTTTGCAAACGCTCCGGGAACGGTTTGTTGAACCGAAAGGAGTTACAATAACTTCTTATTAATATAAAGGAGGGAGGGGAAAATCAAAGGTTTGTGCTTTGAGAGCGAGGACTTCTTGAGGCACTTTGCTATACTTGATACGCTACTACTAGCCATTAGTATAATTATTAAATATTTTAATAAAATCTAATTCTACTTACCTGGTCAGAGAATTTAAAAGCATTCAGATGAAAAATGCATTTTTTTTGAGCTTCTGAAACTCAAGGTGGCTTTTGAAGGACACCTTCCACAGCGTCCTATGCAAAACCTTCCTTGCCACAGCGCTTGGAAGCTGATTTTTTTCTCGCACCTCCATCAAACGCATCTTCACATTTCCTTACCTGCACCCGACAGCAAGGGGGAGAGCAGAAACGAGCTCTCGGCCTCAGCGGGGCTCTACGGAGAGCCGCTGCGCTGAAATCTTCCCTTTAAAATCTTTGCCCCTTATTGTGTACGAATTAAAGACATGGAAGTAAGTGAGGTGTTCAACTTGCCCGAGGGAAACACCTACAATCAGGCAGTTGTTTATCTTTCTTCCAGAGCTTCCCCCATCTCCTTCGTTGGATGCTTTCACTCATGCCTGAAGTTCAGGCCTCAGCTTCTTTGGGGATGGAGGGCTCTCATTTACATACCTCAAATGTTTCTGGGTAGGGTAAAATTTAAAAGTAAGTAACCATCATGGTTTTAGCCAGGTTTCACTTTGAATCACTGGCTTACCTCAAAGCAAAACTGAGAAAAAGCCTTGGGCTAACTCATGATCTTACACCTTGGACGATCGCACATCTTCACTTATTGTTAGAGTGAAATTATTCAGAGCCAATGCCGGCAGCTATCGCTCCCGTTAGAAACCAGTCGAAACACCCTCAATTTCAGCGGTGAAACCGAGAGCAGGATTTGTTTTTAGTGGCTACCCCCATATTTAGCTGGCGGAAATGCCGGTAGCAATCACCACCACCATCGAGCAAACCCACTCTCACTTTCCACACCGGCACCCTCTGCCAAGCCGCCGATCTCGTGACACCGCTTTTTGGGGAAGACCCAGACCTAAAGCCCTGTGGGAGACTGGGAAATGCCACACGGGGAGGAGGATGGGGGGAGTTTTGGCTGGTGGATGGCGATGGGTGTACGACACCAGGGAGCAAAACCTGGTCAGCGTGGCATGGCTGAGGCTGGCATCCAAAACGCCTTTCCCCCTGAAAGCCAAGCTACTGTGGGGCTGTGAGGGGGTCACCCTCAGGAGCTCTTCCCATGAAATTTCCTGTAGAAAAATGCATTTTTCTCATGCTGCAAAGGCTTGCCAGCACTGTTCTGTCTCAATGTTGTCACCGCGTGTGGATACCATAACGCTGGCGGGCAGGTTCAGGACAAGCAAATCCTTCCCCTTTGCAGCTCGTAAAACAGCACCGCTTCTTTTGTCACACCTCAAAGGCCCCAACTGTTTTATTTTACAAATTAGTCTCACTTTCACTAGGGAAAGTTTAACGCACCTGCAGGACCAGGTAGTCACTGAGCTCCCAGTTGCAGCCACTCTCAGCTGCCAGGGCTTGCAGGAGGAGATGGAGGAGGAGGTCCAGGGCCCTGCAGCGCAGGAGACTTGGCCAGGAGGACACCACTGTACAGAGTATTTCTGGACCCTTGTGTCCCCCCACTCTCCCAGACTGAATCCAGGGGGCCAGCAGGTGTTTCCGTGTCCCCAAAGTGTTATCCCCAGCTTTGCAGGCACGTCGTAACAACCTGTGTTTGTACAGGCAGTCCCAAGGACTTCTGCAGCCATCCAGCTGCCCGGCACCTCCTGGGTCATGGTGGGAAGTGGGGGAGTGAATATTGCTTCCCGGTAAACAAAAAGGCACTGGTGTACACGGTCCAGTTTAATTTCTTGTCAGAGATAGTCCAGGGCCAGGTGTGGGGGCTTGGAGGAGGAAAAATGCCAACAGGAGGAAGCACACCACCCCAGGGGCAGCGGTACCCCGATTTCTGGAGGACACCCGTGGGTGTTACAGCATTTAAAGGTGTCTTCTGGCATTAGGGCCCACGTGGTGTGGGAGAGCCCCAGACCTCACGACCAGAGTCAGCGCTGATGCCTTTCCCAAGGCGCAGAGGAGGAGATCTTCTCGGCAGGCGGGGAACACAAAGCCAAGGGAGGTGAAGTCTCAGCTGGAGCGGGTGCCACCTCAAGCGCGGGACCACGCTTTCCTCCCCTTGTACGGAAATCTCCTACAGACGCTGTGGAGAATCGATAAGAAAATCTTTATAATAAACACTGCGGTTCATCAGACTGAAATTAGCAAAAGCCAGTGCAGCTTTACTGCGGTTTATGTCCATTTAATAAAATCTGCTTTTCATCTCCTTCTGAAGGCACGTGACCCCAGTGATTGAAAGCAGGCCAGGAGAAGCCTGAATGAAAAACCCACCGTAGGTATGGGACAAACTCCAGTACAGGCAAGTTAGGTGCTGATTAGAGACCATAAACACTTGAATAGAAATAACAGGGCAAGCCAAGGTGCTGGAAAAGGCTCCTATGCTCGTAGGAGCCATAGGAGAAGGTGAACTGCAAACTGATACAAGGCTCCGTCCAGCACCAGATGGCCATAGGAGGCTCCTTCACGTACCGCCTGATATAGAGGGAGGTCTGGGGACTGGTTCTTAGGAAACAAGCAAGGATCTCCATGCGTTTCAGCTTTGTATCACTCCCGACTGCTCTGTTGACAACTGGTGTGGCAATATCAAAGCAGGGCAGAGACAAGAAGACAGCCCAGATCCTCAGTTTTGTTATTCAGGCATTAAATGGAAATCTGGAAGCCCTACTTGTACCCAGGAAGCAGGTGCTTTCGAGAAACTTTCAAATGACAAGCCTAGTTAGAGAAAATATGTATAGTAAGATGATTCTGGACATCCAAGATAAAAAATGGTTCCCACGTGTGCTGTCTTTATAGATTACGTACCAAATCCAAGAAATAAAAGTGATGGATCCATATTCTTTTTTAATTTGGTGGTCAAAAGGTCAGGCTTTACTGGTATCACCAATGGCATGTTGGGAAAGGGCTGCTAGTAAGATCTGTTCCAGCCTTGCCTAACTTTTGATAAGAGTTAGCGAACAATGTTGATTGATAGAATTCAATTAATTAGAGACAGGTTTTGAGGATTACAGACTTACCTTTAACAGGGAAGTTAATCTTAGTTAACGCCTTAATTGATCTCAAAAATAAAAGGTCAGAAAGAAACAAAAGCTCCTCCCAGAGATCACCCAAACACTTTAAATTCTTCTACTTGCAGAGATGTAAATGGCTTCAGCATTTAGGTCTTTTGAATCTACTCAGGAAAATTAAATTTATGACATTTTGTCAGACTGTGGATATTTTGAATATAAAAGTACAACACAAATGTTTCTTGAATGAAATCATTGTGTTTGTGCGGGTGAGATTCAGGATCTCTGGATTCACCCACCTACACTGAGATGTCTGCAAAGCAGGTGTCTTCACGTGAGAAAAAAATTTCAACTCTAATATTGAGACCCAGCCAGTGGAGCTGAGGCAAGACAAGCCTCTGGAATTTCAGGTGGAGAAAAAAGTAGGGAAAAGTCTGGTAGCCTGGACAGTGAATTTTAAAAAAGCACAGCTCCATTTGCTGTTATTTCTCAGATTTGGGACATAATCCTGCTCTGATTTAAGTCAATGGGAGTTTTGCTATTGACTTCAGAGGGACGAGAATCAAGCACTTTGTCTGCTCCAGACGTGACTGTTTTATTTGGAAATATAACTTTTTAAACCACACACTTTTCTCTTAAAATGCTACAAAGTAGAGCAAGTAATTACATTAGGCTCTACCTGAAGCTCCAGAGAATTAATACAAAGGCTGCTTGGCTCTTGCCAACTTTCACTATTACAATTTTACTAGCACCATATGCAGCACTACCTTACCTGCTTGTTCCACTTAGTGAACTCGTTGGGGGTTTTTTGTGGGTTTGTTTTTTTTTTTTTTTTTTCAAAGAAGCACGCAGTATACACAAACAAAAGCTCCAGGGAGTGGGGACCAGCTTGGTGGCCCATATGGTCTTAGTATCAAAGAAATCAGAGATGGAGCAGGTCTGTTTGCTCAGCAACCCCGTCCTTTTTGCAAATGTGTGAACGTTGGCTCAGAAAAAACTGCTCTTTTGGGTGGTTTCTGTTGCTTGCTGTCATGCAAGAAACTCTGAAAGTGAGATTTCCTGTGTTATTCTGAGTACCCCTGTGGCCAAAAAGGAAAGGAGCAGTGAGGTAGGGAAAGGCCTGGCTGTGTCGGCTTTGAGACCATGGAAAGGTTGGGGACAGTTTTCTGAGGACAGCCTGGAAAGACTTTCTGCAGAGGAGAGTTTTCACCAGAAAAAGCTAATCCTGTGATTCTCATGTGACAAATTCCAATGCAGGAGAAGAACCAAATGCAAATTATACACACAAGGCTTCACATAAAGACCAAAGTGGAAATTATTCTCTGGCAGACAGCTTTGCTAAGGCAGAGTAAAAGTTGACAAGGGATTTGTCACCACTGGACTTGAAAATAAGGTGACATCTTGCTGGAAGATAAGTTTTGAAGACCGAAGACTCTCACAGCTCCCTCAGGCTTGCCCAGAAGGGACCTTCTGCTGCACCAGGCTGGGGAGATGGACCTCAGCCTTGCCTGCGCCACGCCATGCAGTGGCAGGTAAGCGGTCACACCCATGACAGTCCTATTTTTGTTTCATCCTAGTGAAAATGCCCTGTGGTCAAGACAACGAGGCATTTGGCTCTGCCAATGTCCTTCCAGACTGTTGTACTTTGCTGCATTGGAGCAGTGTGGTAGACCTTCTGGTTGAGTTGGGTCCTCCCCTACCTCTGCACGTGGTAAATGGACAAGAACCTGGTGTGCCTCACTTGAGGGCCAAGTGGTGTAAGCTGTGCAAAGGGCAGCCCGTGAGCTTTTTTAGCCCTAAGGATTGTCAGCTGTGAGGTGGGCAATGAGAGGGTCTGGGAGTCCAACGAGCATCGTGAGGAAGCAGTCTTGGAGCAGGGAGGTAGGGAGCAGAAAAGGGGAGAAAGGGCTGGAAAAGGAAGGCAAAGGTGGTAAAATCAAGGAAGTTTCAAGCTGTTGCTCAGAGATAGGTTTGGTGATTGAGTACAGTGTATGGGTAACTTCTTCCCACTAAACAGAAGATTTACTGTATCAAAGAGCTCCATCATTGGGCTCCAACTTAGTTTGGGCTGTCGCAAAACAAGATTTTGTCTTCAGAAGACAACTTGTATTGGCTACTCCTAGAGTCAGAGAGAAAAATCAAAGGATTTGTGAGGAAAGGTTAAAAGTTTGAAATTGAAGGTGCAGCTTTCAGCCTCATTTGGAGTCTCCTACGGCTTAGTCCACAATGAAATTGGGGGGATTACAGCCAGTACGCTACCTTGCGATGCACAAGCACATTGAGCCATGACTGCTACAAGGCACAACCATGTGGCAGTCAGACATTGGTGGCTTTAAGACACTGGCTAGCTAAGGTTGACAGGTTTTGTTGCAAACTTGTTTCTGAACCCCAGCATAGCCTAATGCACACTTATGAGTAAGAGCTAGGCTGGGACCAGCCCTCAGGAGCCAGGATCTATCTGGCAGAGCTGCCCTCTCTCTCTGACCCGGTGAACTGACTGATGGTTTGGGACATGCTTCTCCCTCGCTCTGGGGAAAAAGACCACAGAATCACAGAAATGTTGGTTGGATGGGACTGCTGGAGGTCACCTAGGTCGATCTCCCGTTGAAGCAGCACTACCACCAACATTATATCATTAAGTCAGCCTTTATCTAGTCAAGTCATAAAAAGCCTCCAAGGAAGGAGCCACCACCACCCCTCTGGAGCACCTGGTGGAGAAGGTTTTCCTAACGGCCAGTCTGAACCTCCCCATCTGCCATGTGTGGCCACTTCCCCTTGTTACGTCCTCTGGTACCACCAAGAAGAGTTTGGCTCTGTAATCTTTGTACATGCTCTTGAGACAGACACAGGCTGCTGTTCCATCACTCTTTGGGCTCCTCTTCACTGGGTGAAACAATCCCAGCTCCCTCCACCTCTCTCGCCCTGTACCTGCACTCTAGGTTCTGGACCACAGTTGAGCAGCCCTCAACCCTGACCTCTCCAGTTTTCCCACATCCCCCTTGAAGCAGGGGTCCCAAAACAGGATGCTGTACTCCAGCTGTGGATGCACCCGTGCTGGGATGGGGAAGTGCATGGGGCCAGCTCTTTCAGCCGCAGCCTCATTCTGTGGGCCAGTGCATGGTGCCGCCACCACCCGTGTCCCCACCACTGGCTGTCAATGAGGTCTAAACGGTTGATACAAACTAGGAGAAACAGGGCAGTCTCAGTTACAGCTACAGCTTCGGTGTCAAAGCACCAGAGAGCCCTCTCCTCAGGATCTGCATATAATTAGCCATGCTTATTCAGTAAATCAGAGCAGGGCCCAGCTTACGTCCTGTTGTTCCTCGAGTTCGTGTTTCAGTCTAAGACTTACCAAAACATAGTTTTATATGCTAATTTCCTTATAGTAAACCCCTTAGTGTATGTCGTTCATCAATACCAAGCGGTGTACATGTAAGAGTAGGCTAATATTCTATATATATTACCAACTTTATGAGTTCAAGAATTACAATGTGCTTGCTTTATTTAGGTGGTAAACTTTTTTAATGAGTCTGGAGGGTCCTTTACATAAAAGTAGTGACTCTAGCTTGGAATCTCTTTCCATGTTTATTAGAAATGTGTTTTACTTTACCATGAAAAAAGCCAAGGAAACATGCAGCCTTAAAGTCTAATGAAGTAGTTATTCATGCAGTCAAAGTTCATAAATTTTAAATACATTTAATTTATAAATTGAAAACATAGCTTGCACTGGCTTTTTCAAGATTATTGCTTGCCACAGGGGTTTTAGGATAGTTGCCGGGCCATGCTTGTTACCTCTTTCCTTTCAAGGCTGGATCTTCATGATTTGCTCACATTCATTCTGA